TTGAATTCACAATCCATAAAAGAAGATAAGATTGGTTTATCAGTTTTAGTGTTAGTCGTGGCAACTTATAATTAAAACATGATAATGGAAATGAAAAAAAATATTTCCCACTGACTAAAACATGCATGAGAGGTACAGGAGAAAATCCAGAAATACAGAGATCTTTGAATCTTTGAGTACGCTTTACACCACCCCTCGCTCATTGGAATCGGTATAGATTTCCACGTTACTCACACTCACGGGAATGGCCCACGTAGGATCAGTGTTCACATTGTCCCCGCACCATTGAGGGTTGCAAGTCTTGCTGTTGTTGTTGAGGGCGTCTTCCTCCCTTTCCACCTTGACGTCCTCGCAGTGGCCGTCGGGCTGAGCCGCCTGCAACTCTTGTAGCACCGGCGACCCCGCCGTCACCACACCCTCCAGAGTGTACTCGGCGGCCACCTCATCCTCGGCCGCGTCACTCTTCAGCGCATCCGTGGACACCTCCACGTAGACAGTATCACAAGTCGGAGTGAACCCGGAGAAGGGTGTCATAGGCGACTCAAGGGTGCGAACGACGGAGATGCCGTCGGCGAGGTTGTCGCCGGGTGCGTGGGTGGGGGTGTCACAGGGTGCCTGGGCGTGGGCGTCCGCAGGGGCGTCGGTGAGGGCGTCGGCCGGAGCATCGAAGGGGCCATCACTGTGATCGTCGGCAGCCGCATCGCAGGAGAAGTCCTCGGTAGAGGCGGAGACAGTGGCAGGCGCCGACTTGCGGTTCTTGACGGGGGGGCGCGCGCCGAGGTAGGTCTTGGAGGCCCGCGACCTTGGGGTAGAACGGGACGTCGTCTTGCGCGTCGAGGAGACGATCCGGTCCACCGAGTCATCCGAGTCCGCGAGAGACAGAGGCCGGCACGCCCTGTTCAGGTGACGTCTGGGGGAGGCGTTGAGAGCGCCGGCGTCGTCCTCGAGCGCACCCGGAGGGGTCCTGGCTGGAGTCGGAGGCTGTTCGTCCGTGCCGGGGCCGAACTGAACTTCGACTGGAGGAACAACAGCATGACCAGTTGTCAATCTTGAGATGCCGGTGGGGAGGGTCGAACTCACAAGTGGGATGTTGCTTGGTGTCAGGGAGGACGTTTTGCTTTCAGATGAAGTGTCAGCTGCAGGGGGTAATAATGATGGCACACTCGGTATGGCTACGTCCTTACCATGGGTCGCTTTTCCTTTCCGAGAGACGGGAGCCTTCTTAGGCACCTGTCTTTTTGGTGACTTTGACGCAGGTTTCTGCACAATGATGAGTGGTGGCTTTTGTGAAGCAGATACCGTGCTTGAGACGGTGCTCGTCACGGTGCTGGATGGTAGGGTGGTGACAATGCTCCGCAAGATGCTCGTTGTGGTGCTGGGTGCAGTGGCCAACGAGACCCTAGGGTTCGAAGGGAGACTCACTTGCAGTAAACAATCGTTAAAAGGGGAAGTTAGGTCATTCACTACCGGCTTTATAACATTAGGAACTTCAGAGAGAGGGATGGACACTTCGCTAGGCGAGCTGATGATAAGCTGCTTTCCCTCACTCGACGGTCTGGGCGAAACTTTAACTGAATTTGCTAAAGTTTCACTAGAACTCTGAAAGATCGCCGACCCTGGCGGTCCCTCTGTAGACAGGCTTGAGATACCACTTCGAAAGGCGGCAATTGTAGATTTCTTGATTTTGGTCTGCGTTCGCTTAGCCACGGCCAGTGCTCTTTCGCTTGGCGCCCTAGGCTTGGCGGTCACCTTCACCTTCAGCTGGCTCGCCTTGCTTGTCTTTGCAACTGAACTGGAACCGCTAGTTATTTTACGGTACTTGTGTGGGGGGCCTAAAAACTCCTTTGTTACACTGTCATCAAGTTCTGGCACTGGAAAGTCTTGTTGAGACTCCGCTATCAGCGGCTTTACATCTGGGAGGACACTGGGAAAGACTCTTGCCGGGGACACGGCCGGAGACTCGGGCCACGACATGTCGACGTCCCCGTCGAGAAACTGACCGTCATGCAGGAGGGACAGGGTGGTGCCCCCCACCGCGTTGAAGGAGGCACACTGGGCGCAGTCCTGGTC